CGGGGGCCGGGAGCGGCCACTGCACTCCAGTCTGGGCGGCAGAGTGAGACTCCAACTCAACAACAACAAAAAAAAGAGCTCAATTACGAGGCCAGGCGCAGTGGCTCAAGCCTGTAATCCCAGCACTTTGGAAGGTGGAGGCGGAGGCAAGAGGATCGCCTGAGCTCAGGGGTTCAACACCAGCCTAAGCAACATGGCAGAATCTTGTCTCTACAATAAAGCGAAAAAAAATTTTTTTTTTAAAAAGAGCTCAATTATGGACAAAGAAGCCCCTCGATGCCTGGCCACTGCTCCCTCTGCCCAGCCCCTGGCAGTGGGGTCAGACACCCTCAGCCCATCACCCGCCAACCCCATGGGGAGCGCTGGAGACCAGTTCCTGCAGCTGCTCTTGTTCCAACCGTGAGAGCTGCCCCTACTCCAGGCTCATTGCCGCCCTCCCCTCTCCAGGCTCCGGTAGGTTCCCAGATGCCACCAAGAGCGTCCGTGGCCTGGGGAGGAGATACCGGATACAACCCTTGTCCCCACCAGCAGTGAGCACAGTGAGGCTCCCTGGGCATCCCGTAGTAACCCATAATCCCAAGGGCAGCTGCTGGGCTGCAGAAGGCGGTGAACAAGGAACCTCCACCAAGGCACCCCAGGTCCAAGCTGAGCGAGTCACACTCCTATTAAGAAGCCTTTGCCCAGTGTGGTGGTTCACGCCTATCATCCCAGCACTTTGGGAGGCAGAGACAAGAGGATTGCCTGAGCTCAGGGGTTCGAGACCAGCCTGGGCAACTTGGCGAGACCGCGTCTCTATAATAATAATTTAAAAAAAAAAACTGGGCATGGTGGCACAAACCCATAGTTCCAGCTACTTAGAAGGATGAGGTGGAAGGATCGCCTGAGCTCAGAAAGTCAAGGCAGCGGTAGCCGAGATCGTGCCACTATATGCCAGCATGGGTGACAGAGTGAGACACCGAGTCAAAAAAAAAAAAGAAGAAGCAGAAGCAGCAGCAGCAGCCTCGGGCAGGACCCCTGCAGCCCAACAGGCAAAGTCCAAGCTTGCAAACTCAACAGGCAAGCCCCTCCTTCACCGTCTACCCCAGCCAGGTCTGCAAACACAACTCCCCACCAAACCGCACCCAAAGAACTGCCCTCCAGAAACCAGCACCTTACCTCTGTTCCCCGAAGAAAGAGAGCACCCCTCATACTCTTTGCCTCTGTCTAGGGCTCCCCTCCATCTGTAATGTCCCGTCTCCCACTCAGGACTCCTACTCACTCTTCAAAACCCACACAGAAGTACCCACTCAGGTGAGCCCAGCCAGGCTTGTCCACTCTCTCTTCTTCCCACTGTACATTTCACTAGACTTTCCAGCCTGAGAGGTGCTGGACCCCGAGACCAGGGTTCTAAGACCCCCACACCAAGCCCCAGCCTGAACCCTCCACAAAGAGGCAAGTGGAGATTTCCTTGCAAGGGTCAGCTAACGTGGAAGTCCCAGCTCCACCCGCTCCAGTGGAGAAGGAGAGTTGACCCCGTCTGTGGAGACAGTGGGCACTGACCCACAGGTCAAATACAGAGGACTGGTGGTCCACACCTCATCTGTGGAATCCCGCGTCCTTCCTCTGGGCGGGAGAAGGGGCCCACGGTCCTCACCTGTGCTGTGGCCTGCTGTGTCCGCAGACTGCTTGGTCCAGTCTCTGGCTTTGTCGATGTGGAACAACTTCAAGTCATCTTCATCTAAGGCAATGTCTCCCCAAAAGACAGCTGGAAAGAAAAAACATATGTGAGTCCACTTACACTGGAGAGCAAGGAAGACAGAAGGCCTGATGCCCCAGAGGGAGCCAGGTGGGAAAAGACAGCCCATCCAATCACAGTTCTCCCCAAGCCTCAGAGACAGGGCTGGCAGAGAAAGAGAAACAGATCACAGTTCTGTGGGTCAGAACCATGGTGTGGGACCAACCGTCACGGAAATCCAAATCACCAGTCTGTGGGTGTTTTGGAAGGTCACTGGGCCTGCTGGGGTGACTCATGCCTATAATCCCAGCACTTTGGGAGGCTGAAGCAGGAAGACTGCTTGAGCCCAGATGGTTCAGACCAGCCTGGGCCACACAGCGAGACCTGGTCTCTGCAACAAACCAAAAAAATCAGCCAGGCACAGTGGCTCACACTTGTAATCACAGCACTTTGGGCGGCTGAGGTGGGAGGATTACTTGAGACCAGGCGTTCGAGATCAGCCTGGAACATCATGAGACTCCGTCTCTACAGAAAAAATGTTTAAAGTAGCCGGGCGTGGTGGTGTGCGCCTATAGTCCCAGCTACCCGGGAGGCTGAAGTGGAAGAATCACCTGAAGAGGTCAAGGCTGCGGTGAGCCATGATCGTTCCACCGCACTCCAGCCTGGGTGACGGAGGGAAACCCCAACTCAAAAAATAAACAAGCAAAAAGGTCGCCCTGGCTTACCCTTGCTCGAGGCAGCTCTGGGCAAAACCACCACAAAAAGACAGCTGTTTCTCTCTTCCGCAGGGTCCCCAGGATACAGAAGAGAAAGTATAATATGATATAAGATGTCATTGTCCATACTCTTTGCTGCCCTTCCCTGAGGGAAGACTCCAGTTCATTGCCCCACTGATGTCAGGATGGCCACATAACCTGCTGTGATTACTTCCACGTAAGCAGCTCTAAGAGCTAGTGTATGACAAGCCACATCTCTGCTCTGTCCTGGAAGACAAGCCATGCTCCAGATGGGGGTGACTCTGTCACCCGGGTTCTCAGTTAATGATGGTGTGAAGCACCACATGTCCTCTCAGGACAGCACCAGGGTTTTGTATAAGTGTTTGTTTTCAGAGTTGGAGTCTCACTCTGTGGCCTAGGCTAGAGTGCAGTGGTGCAATCATAGCTCACTGCATCCTCGAACTTCTGGGCTCAAGTGGTCCTCCTGTTCCAGCCTCCTGACCTGAGACTACAGGCCTGCACCACCACACCTGGCTGATTTTTTAGTTTTTGTAGAGATGGGGTCCTGCTATGTTGCTCAGGTGGTCTCAAACTACTGGGCTCCAGCAATCCTCTTGCCTCTGCCTCCCAAAGCTCTGGGGTTACAGGAGTGATGTTTTGATAAGCCTCCGAGATTCTAAGGCATTTGTTACTGGCAAACTACCTCTTTATATAGAGAACCTCACTAATATAGAAATTGTTATCAGAAGTAGTATGCTCCTGTAACAAAAACCCTTTGTCTTTGGGCCAGGGGTCAAGGTCATGGTTACTAGAGGCTGGAAGGAGGTGATCTATGTTATGTCACAACAAAGTGTTTGGTAAAATTACTGCCCTCACTCGCTTGGAAGGCAGTTGGTGAACTGAACGAGCTATGGCTTTAAGTGAAAAGATGGATTCAGAATGCAGACAGCATGGCTTGCTTGGCTGCTATGAGCTGTATTTGACAAGGTACTACAAGACACAAATGGGCTCAAAAAAACTGGACAATTTTTGTAAGAATGAAAAAAAGTAGAGTCCAAAAATTCAAGGACTTGGAGAGTTGGAAGAGCCAGCCTATTCTCAGAATGTAACAATAAAAGAAAGCTGAGAACTTTGAGTAACAAAGGCTGATTAAAACACAGCTTTTACTTAGGGAGACTGAGGAAAGTGGATTGCCTGAGCCTGCAGGTTCGAGACAAGCCTGGCCAACTTGGCAAAACCTCATCTCTACAATAAATCAAAAATTACCTGGGTGTGGTAGCACAGGCCTGCAGCTACTTGGAAGGCTGAGGCAGAAGGGTCACCAGAGTCCAGCAAGTCGACGCCGGGGTGGCCGTGAGTATGCCACTGCACTTCAGCCTGGGCAATGGAGTGAGACTCCAATTCAAAAACCAAAACCAAAACCAAAAAACCCCACAGCTTTGTAGTGTGGAGAAATGATAATCCTCACTCCTTGCTAGTAGAAATGTAAAGTGGTACAATGGATGCTTCCTTTATGAGAAAATGGAGGCTTCTTTAAAAGGCAAACATAAACTTATCATAGACCCAGCAATTCCGCTCCTAGGCATCCTCCCAAGAGAAATAAAAACATATGTCTACCCAAAGACACATGCTCAAATGTGTATAGCAGCCGTATTCATGACAGCCCCACCTTGAAACAACCTAAACATCCTATTGCTAATAGCAATTTAGCAATTAAAAGGAAAAAAACCATAGACACATACTACAACATGTATGAATCTCAACTACATCATGCTAAGTGAAAGAACCAGATGCAAAAGACTATATATTATGATTCAATTTATTTGAAGGGTCTAAACGAGGCTAATTTATAGAGCTAGAATTTATAGAGAACTCATTTATAGAGCTAGAAAGATTAGTAGGCTGGGGGCAGGAACAAGGGCTGGCTGCAAATATAACTATGGGAACTTTGCAGGGGTGGAAGTGTTTTAAAATTGGATTGGGGTGACGGTTGCACAACTACAAATTTACTAAAATCACTGAATTCTACACTTACAATAGGTGAATTGTACAGTATGTCAATTATACTCGGGATGTCTGTTAAGGAAAAAAAAAATTCAACCTGTAGCAGGGACCAATCAAGATGGAGCCTGGTCAATTCTTTTAGTTGGAAAATAATAGTTCAGGCCAAGGACGCTAAGAAAGTGGTTCCCCCACAGAAGCTTCCTAAGTGCAAGGTAGCAGTAATTAAGTCTGGAGTGAGAGACAGAGAGAGATGTTTAGAAACCAACTCCGTGGCAATGGCACACGAAGTTGGACCAGATAGATGAGAAGATGACCAATTCTGTCGAAAAGCTACAGTGCCATAAAAAGCCAGCATGGCCCAAAGGAGGCCGCAACTGCTTGAGACTTAAGACAACCCCCAATGATCCTTGGGCCCCCATCCTCGTATGGAAAGGAAGCAGGCTGAAAAGTCAGCCCCAGTGGATGGCATATTCTCTGACACCCTCTTCAGACGTGGCCAATAAGAAGGGGAAAGAGAAGGCAGGATCTCCCAGGGTGTAGAACCCAAGTCCACGGAGGGAAACGATTGGAGAACTACTCCCAAGAGGTGGCATCAGGGCTTAGCCAAGGAACCCTCCCTATCCCGGGGTGCCCTTGCAACACGCCCTGCACAACTTCAGAAATTTTATGGGGCAGGGACAGCTGCATCTCCCAATCTCCCCCTTTTCAAATGGAAGTGTTTGCTATAGCTATCTTGTCTCTGGCCTATCTATGAGATCTGACAATTAAGTTTGTAAATTGGCCAACAAGCGCTTACATTAGCGGCACTGTACAAACAACTCGGTAGGGTTTCATAGCCTTGGTATATCAGTGACTTACAGCTGTGTTCGTGTCAACGTGTGGCGGTGTCTTGCTGAGTGGCATTTATTATTGTTGTTGCATGTTTTTGTGTGCCATATCGAGAATGTCAGAGCTGGAATTAGAGCAACCAACAGACATTAAATTTCTTGTTAAACTTGGCAAGAGTGAACGTGAAATCAGGGATGTGTTAGTCCAAGTTTATAGAGATAATGCCATGGAGGGACAGCAGTGCACAAATAAATTAAATGTTCTTCTGAGGGGAGAGAAAGCATCACTGATGAAGAGAGATCAAGACGGCCGATAACGAGAACTGATGAAAATATTGCAAAGATTCATCAGATTGTGCATCAAAACCGCTGGCGGACTGTGAGAAGCACAGCAGACAAAGCAAACATCGATAGAGAAGCAGCCAGGAAAATCTGAACTGAGACTCTTGGCATGAAAAAAGTGTGGGCAAAAATGGTCTCCAAGGAGCTCTCGCATCACGACAATGCACCAGCTCACACGGCACTGTCTGTGAGGGAGTTCTTAGCCAGTAAACAGACAACTATATTGGAACACCCTCCCTACTCACCTGATCTGGCCCCCAATAACTTTTTTTTTACCCAAAGATAAAGGAAATATTGAAAGGAAAACATTTTGATGACATTCAGGACACCAAGGGTAATACGATGACAGCTCTGATGGTCCTTCCAGAAAAAGAGTTCCAAAACTGCTTTGGTGGGTGGACTGGGCACTAGTGCCCGTGCATAGTTTCCCAAGAGAAGTGCTTTGAAGGTGACCATAGTGATATTCAGTAATGATGTATGTAGCACTTTTTCTAGGATGAGTTCACGAACTTAGTTGTCACACTCCGTATCACTGTATAATGAATGTGTATGTGTATTCACAAGTCTCCAGATAAAGAGGAGTCCCATCCTGACTCAGTATAGAGACAATCACAGGATCCTAGGCTTGGAGCCTGGTACCATGACTGGATAGGACTTCAACCTCATAGCAGGGACCAGTCAAGATGGTGCCTGGTGAATCCGTTCCTCCTTTCCGATGGACAAAGAACAGTTGTCCCTTGGGGCATCCTCCTTGAGGAAGGATAAGTATGTTGTGTCCGTGAGAAGAGAAGGAAAGCAGACTTGTTTGCAGAGGGGAGGAGACCTGTGATAGAGTCTATCATTGTTTATAATTTTTGCTGCTTCTCCTGGGGACAAGTTATTCTTCCCCCTCTCTCTGATGTCAGACTTCACCATGTGATATTTTTTACTGGCCAGTGAGGAGGCTGAAACGTGTCACTTCCAAGCAGACCCTTTAAGACCTAGCCCGTGGTTTGCCATGTTCTCTTTCCCAGACGACAAAGAACACTCCAGAAACAGGCTGCCCCACCAGGCTAGGACAGAGTGAAGATGGTGTGATTCAGGCTGAACGTGTAGCCTGAGACATAAACCTCTGTGGTTATAAGCCACTGAGGTTTAGGGATTATTACTGCATCCATAACCCAGATTATAATGACTGCTACAAACAGGCTTTGAAAAACAACAAGCATTCATAGCCCGGTTCTGAAACTTATTAGCTCTGCAACCTTAGACAAGTCACTCAACCTTGCTGAACCACAATTCATCTGTAAACAGAGATAATACTGCCTGTTCTGGGAACTCAATGAGAGAATTAAATGATACACACACACACACACACACACACACACACACACACACACACACACCATGGCTTTGTTTATTTCTTCA